CCAGAGGTTAGATCTAAACCTGCAGTCAGAGCTCGGTTGGAAGACAGATTCAACAGCAGCCCGACAGAAAACCCCAGATGTCAAGAACCCCAAGAATCTGGAGTAACTCTTAACAAGTGTGTTGCAATTACTTTTAGTTTATGTTGTTAAACTATGTATCATGTAGTTCAAAAGTGATTTGCTAAGTGAAACCTATGAATAATGCTTGTTTTAATATATGAGAAGGATGGGTTGGGCTTTGTTAAACTGTGCCATCAAACGTGGCTGCGACTCCACTGAGCTCAGCTTAGGCCCCTCTGTTTATTGCATAAATGGTACAGCATGGAGTTCCAAAATGAATTACTTTATGACTTTATTCTTGATAACATGTACTGTAAATAAAGGTGAGAGAACATTACCTAATTTTAATATGCAGCTTGCTAAAGGCAAAGTAGATTTTTTATAATAATAAAAAAATAATAATAATTATGGTGATGATAGATTCGGGTTATAATGTGGAGGCCTGACTATGGGGAAAACTGGAGCAAAAATACTGTTTTACAACCTAACCCTGTACCTATCTTAATGTGCTGACAAAATGTTTTATTGAGGCATGAAGCACCTTGTTATTGCACAGAATAAAATACCTCCTTGGCTGATTTTTCTTTTCTTTTATTTGGCCCCTGAAGTGGGCAACATAGCAATAACAATGATTTCTGTTTACAGTAAATGAAAGTGGTTTCTTGGTGATAGTTTCTAGAATATTTGTAGCTGTACTTTATTTCTGCACTCATTTCCAAGCAGTCAGCCTGGTATGTTTTCTGTGTTTGTTTGTTTTTGTCTGAAGTTTAGTGACATTGATCCGCCAGCCCTCAGAAGTGGTGGGTGTTCCTCTTCACCAGCAAGGGAGCAGGTGTGCTGCACTAGGGAAAAATAAGGCTGCACCTGCCACACATTCCTTACCATTTACTTACCCGTTCTTTACCATGAATGCATGTTCTGCTGCTGGAAGTGCTAACCCTTCCCAAGCACAGGTAACTCTCCTCTGCCACCTTCCAATGCTGATAGTATTAACTTCCTGGGTGTGGTAGAATTCTGAAGGTTTGTGGTAGAGTGTGGCTGGGTTTGAATAGGAATGATCAGAATGATCTGTAATGCAATTTATTTATTAATCTTTAAGATAATCAAGTCACTTTCTTGGCATTTGTAATTACATGTATCCCAGCAATGAGCAGTAGGCCATCAGATCTCCTTTTTTCTAGAGTTTATCAGTTTATCATCTTTCATCTGTGCAAGACAAGAGACCATTTTCTGTAGTTCCTTTCTTTCTAATTCATTTTGGTGATAAAGATATTTCCCTCTCCACAACTTGCAGTAACCTCTGAAGCAAAAGTGATAGCGTGGCACTGAGAAATGTCAGAGATATTCCCAAAATTCATCACTGTCAAAACCCCATGGCTGTGTGTATTTGGGATTTATTCAGCATGAAGAAGTAATTTAAGAAGCTAACAGAAAGATATCACAATAGTCTCTTTTGTTTTAATGTATATACTTCTGTAAGTATTTGCTTTTTGTTTTCACAGACCTGTGGAACATCTTGCACTATTTTGGAAGCTGCCAAACATCAAGACCTTGGGATACCCAAAACATTCCCTTTTCTCTATCAGGAAGTTGAATCCACAAAACAGACAGTAGGTGCTATAAATAAAGCTTTGCCTGAGGAAGTTTGGATTAAAGTTGGAGGTAAACCATTTATCTTCTTTTCACTTAGTTTTCTCTTGGTCTTCAAAACTATTTTTTTTCTAAATTCTTTTCTGGAATTAATATGATTTTAGTAAATGTGGGAGGTGATGTTCTTATGGCAAAGATGTTCTATAGGCAGCATGGGGCTAGATTTCTCCAAAGAGGTTCAACACCTCTAAGTTTAGCTGTACTTTCAAAATTGTTTAGCACTTCTGGCTTGAAATGAGGAGAGTTGAGGTTACAGAGTACCTTTGAAAATCTGAGTCTTGGGTCAGCAGCTGGTTTCTTTAGAATCATAGAATCATTCAGGTTGGAATAGCCCTCCAAGATGACTGAGTCCAGCCTTTGAGCAAACACCACCAAACCCCGTGGCAGAGGGATACATTCTCTGAGCCCAAAGCTGATCCACAGACCCAGTCAGTATCAAACTGAAGAACATTTTAAGGGCTGCCTCAAGGGCTCACCAAGGGCAGGCACAATCTCAGTGGGCTCTCTGAGAAAATAGAAGCTGTGTGGATTTTGGAATAGCAAGCAGTGCCTTAGGTCTTCTGCAGGACATGTCTTGCTGTAAGAATCAATGTAGGCTGGCAGTAAAGCTTCAAAGATTATTCCACATAAATAAAGCACCAAAAGAACTTTCCATTATCAGTATTTTCAGGTTAATGGGAGAGTAACAAATAGGTCATTCTTTTCATTTTTATTTTTCCAACAAGACACCTTATGCAAGCAAGCCATAAACAGAAGTTGCAGCCGAATAAATCTGTTGGATGCAAACATGGATCGCAAACCTCTCGGGGAGATTCGGAACGCCCGGGACAACAACCAGAGCACTGCAGCTGCCCAGGGCCCCTGGCAGTCAGCACAGCCCAGCTCCAGTGTGCAGGTGCAGAGTGGTTCCCAGGATGGAAGTGCTCAGAGGAGGGAAAGGCACAATCGCCTGGAGAGAGACAGGAGGTAATTCTGGGAGCAGGGGTCATGAAACACCTCTTGAAGCCTAAAATACTGGTACTGCAGTACTCTGATTATCCAGAGTAAATGTAAGCTTGACATATTTTGTGTTAACTTCAAGATAGAGCAGTGCAGCAGGTGAGGGTTTGGTGTTTGTTAGAGGGGAAAAAAAAATCTCTGTTTCATTGTGGTTGTCTTTGTGTTTTCACTCTGCAAACAAAAAGAGATTTCAAAACATTTTACCCATTCTATAAGGTTAAGGTGACTTGTGTGTAACAAAACTAATACACAAAGCTTGTAGCAAACACAAAGCAGTCCCCAAAGTCCATGGCTGGTTCCACATGAGTAGTCTTCTTGTTTTCTGTATTTTTCCCTTCCCTCTGGCCCGTGGTTGATAACCTTGGGTGTTTGCCTGCAGGCGCAGGATCCGGGTTTGTTGTGATGAGCTCAATCTCCTCGTTCCCTTCTGCACCATTGACACTGACAAGGCAACAACTTTGCAGTGGACAACTGCATTCCTCAAGTACATTCAGGAAAGGCACGGCGACTCCCTGAAGCAGGTTTGAAATCTCATTTCATTCTTGGTCTTGATAAAAATGGGAAGTGTTTTAAAGCTGTCATAACGTAGAACTGAGATGCAAAGCTTCTGCTTGATGCTGTTTGTGAAGGACCCACCATACCCTTGAACCCTCCTTTAAATTTTTATTTTTTATTTCTTTCAGCTGTTTGAGTTCACTAGTAAGAAATTACAGGCTGTCCTCAGTCAGTGTTTTCAAATAGGATTTTAAAATTAATTTTTTTAGTTACACAATTCCTGAGCATGACCCTATTTGGACAACAGTATGAAATTAAGGTCATCTTCAATTATTCCTCTCCTCCTTCATTTTCTCTATTTTCTACCTCTTTCACAGGCTTCTAGTTAGTTCAGAGAGGGGGATCACAGCTAATGCCCACACTGTATTGAGTGGGTGAGCAGAGTTAAAGGGTTATATGCCTTAAAAGCAGCTCCTGTTCTCCTCAGCAGTAGTTGCAGCTCCAGAGTAACTCTGGCCCTGCTAAGAATTTTAGGAGGGTGTGTATTGGAAAACCTGCTGCTCTAGATATGGATATGGCCCCTCCTCCTTCCTATGGAAGGCACTAATGAAACAAAAGCATCCATCTCAAGTAAACATCTACATTAAATATAACATTTACCTTTTGTATTTTGATTTTTTTTTTTTTAGGAATTTGAGACTGTTTTCTGTGGTAAAACAGGCAGGAGACTAAAAATTGGAAGACCAGACTCGTGTGTAATGTGTCCAGCACAGGAAAACCGCACAGCTATGGAGACCAAATAGCCTGACCTGCCCACCCTGAATTGTGTGACAGTAGTGCAAACTGTGTTTCATTCTTTCCATTTACATGCTGAATAGGAATTTGAAAGTGTAACTTGTAAATATATATAAATAGAAATTTAAAAGAAATGTTCTCTATTGCAAATGGAAATGGAAGGTAACTACCAGCAATGGGAATCAGTGCCCTGTTCAAGGGGCTTTGGGACCAGAAGCTACAAGAAAATGTCATAACTAATTATTTTAACCCTTTAGTTATACAAAATTTGCTTGTCATCCTACTTTGGGGTCTCATTTAATTTTTTGCTCTTATTTTATTTTTAAAGATGATGCAGTACAGATTGGAAGAGTTGTAGAACTTCTATCTTCCTGTTATTTTAATGGCTAGATGCAAACTCATTCTTCCAGTGTATAAAGAAACTGAAGTTACCATATTATAATGCCCATTTTTCCATTTAAAATGTAAATATTGTATTGGTTATTTGGACAAGTGCATAGTTTCTAAACTGTGTGTATTATGAATTTTGCATTTGCATACATATTTAACATAATTAGCTCCAAAGAGTAGTGCAATGGTGTTGGCATTTTTAAATTCAGTCCTATTTTTAATGTCTGCCACACAACTGTCCAAGAGGTTCTTGTGTTGTTACTTTAGACCAAAAGTGGAATATTTTAAACAGTAGATATTTAAATGCACAAACTATTTTTATATTTAAAGAGAAATATGATGCTTTGTTCATAGGCTTTGGCATATAGGACAGAAATAGAACTGTGTGTGAGCTGAGAGTGGCTTTATTAATTTTTTTAAATAGATGATGCTAGCAAGTTTTAAAGTATAAAAAGTTCTACCAAAATTAATACTGGTTTAAATCACGGATAAGAACAATTTTGCAGCAATTTATGTCCAAACAATACTAGTAAAACTTAGTTCTGGAAAATGGAGTTTAGCCAAGTTAATTTGATTTGTATAATGACACTTACAACATCAAAAAGAAAAGGTTAAAAAAAATCTCCTTTTATTTTTACAACAGTTCATACAGGTGGTTTTGGCTGGACTTTAAAAGAGCATCCTTTCTTAGGTGGGGTTCCATCACAATTACTGTGCAAATAGCTGAAGTAGAGGTCATGAAAATGCTGTTACTTCATTTCCTTCGTTATCATATGGAAATATGCAAAAATTCTTCCCTGGAAATTAAAATATTTACATTACTCCTTTTGCAGAATTTGCTTGCAAGAGGATTACTGTTTACTAGTCTTGCCAAAATATTTGAGGTGCAATCTGAAAATTTTTAGCTGGCAGCACAGACTTAAGCAATGGTCATTCCTTAGGCCAGAAGGTTCAGATGTTAAAATACAGGATATTGGAATGCCTGATTTCCACTGATGGAAGAGGCAGCTCGGTGCCTGAGTGTCTTAACAACGTGTCTGAGAGCACAAACCTGCAGGACTGAAGTCAGTGGGAGCAGCACCAAGGAATTCAATGGAAAAGGCTCAAACTTTCTTAGCAAAAAGTCGTGATCTTTAGTACAGGGGGGGGTGATGGTAAAAAGGAGCAATGCTTCCTCTTGCAGGTCTCTTGAGCAAAGGAAGGAAGGAAAGGTGAGGTTGTTTAGCAGTAAAAATTCTGGGAAATAATTGGGGGGAGGAAAAGATAGTCATAAAGCATCTTTTAATTAAAGTTTTCATCTGATGCTTTCTTTTTCATAGAACTGTGTCAAAGTCTCCACTTAATAGAATAGAAGGAGCATCTGTCCTTTTAGCACTAGAAGGATTCTGTTTTCTTACAATGCACTGTTTATTTAAATATTCAGTCACTTCTTCACTTCTTGTACTGTTGGTTTATGATTTTTTGGAAGTTGATGCTGCAACAGCTCCCATGCAAGCCGACGTGTCACATATTCCTGGAGTTCCCTGAGCCCCAACAGTGCCAGGAGTCCCAGGATCCCCTGGCAGCCCGGGTTCACCCTGAGCACCATCACGGCCGTTTTTAGTAATTCCAGGCACACCAGGTGGTCCTAAACAAGAGAGGGGAAAGATACATGAAATATTTCCATCTTTTCTTTTTTAATATATGTATATATGTGTTGATTTTAGAGATCTTAATATACTTTGAGTGTCTGTACATCGCACTTGTTATGGCCTGTTGAGTACAAGGTGTTTTCAATAAATTTACCCTGAATCTGAAGTCTGTGCTTTGGATTTTTTTATCTCTAATTTGGTCAAGGGATGTCTTGGCTGTGTGAGCTCACAGTTTATTAACATGGAATTAATTATTTTATGGAAGATTCTGAGACAACGAGTAAAGTATTATAAAATTTTATGGTATAGATTTTGTGGAAGAATTTAAGATAACATGGTTGTAAAGATTTTGGCTTTATGAAATTCTGTGAACGGAGAGCCTGCTTTTGGTGCCTGCAGTTTATTCATTGTCCAGGTGTAATCCCAGTTAGAAAAGCTGCTTTAACAGGTGAGCAAAATAAAGCATATTCTTCCAAGTTTCCAATAAATATTAATTAATTTGCATAAATTAATCTTGAATCTTTTAATAAAGGAATCCTCATGAAGCAGGCACCATCCTTTCCCTTAATCTGGAGAGCCTCAGAGTTGTCACACCTTTAAATGAGTGATGATAATCTATTGCCATCAGCATGCAGAGCTGTCCCTCCTCAGCCTTCACTTCAGCCATGCAGCATTAAACTATATTAAATTATTATTATTATATAATTATTATATAATATTTATAAATATTATATTAAATTATTATTATTTCCCCACACTTACCCTGCAGCCCTTGGTCACCATCAGGCCCATCAATTCCTTGGCCCACAGGTCCCTTGTCTCCCTTTTCACCAGGGTCACCTTCAATCACAAACACAATTCCCACAGTCAGCTGTGCAGGCTCTGCAGCTGGAGCCACCAACAGCACGGGGAGAGAACAGGAGGAGCTACAGATAAATCCCCTGGGTGCTGCAGGGATCTTGGCTTACATGGCACCCTGTAAGAGCTTAAATGAGAGATGTGGGACTCCAGGTGGCTCTCTAAATGCAGTTTGTTCTATCTCAGATGTTACAGCAGCTCAGGGTTGTGGGTGACAGAGCTGTGCCTACAGCTGTCAGCTCCAGCTGCAGGCAGGCCTGGAGACCCTTTGGTTTTGGTCACAATGCATTCTATACTTTTCTTTTGGTTACATTGCATTCTATACTTTTCTTTTGGTCACAATGCATTATAGACTTTTCTTTGCTTAGCATCTTAATACAGTAGAACCAATCTATACCTTATCTATAGCCTATCATAACTACTATAATTACCATATTCATGTTACTATTCTCCAATCACTAATCACACAAGTTAGTACATTACAGTTTAAGCTAGAAGTTGTTTTTCAGTTTTCTTGCAGTGGAAAATTCTGAGACTTTTTTTCTACTTGCTACATCAGCAGGCTTGTTTTTCTGTGCTATCTTCCTGCTTGGTAAAAACATCTTCTTGTTTGGGGTGGGTTTATCCTGTGCTCTAGGTCATAAAAACCCTTCTAACTCACACACCCTTTGCCTCCTTGGTTATCCAGTAAGACTGGCTCAGCAATTCTTTTCTTCTATATCAAAACTTGCTTCCAACTCTATTCTTTCATCAGACTCCACATTTAAAAATCTTTTGCTAAGCATACATATCTCTGACACTTTCTTGTCAAACTTTCATCCTTCCCAACATCACCCCCAAGGTGCACAACTCCACCCAGAGCTTTACCAAGGGCTGATCTCTTCTCCCCAGTGCTGAACTCGGTACCAGTTCATTTCAGTGGGCATAAAAGAGAAGCAAATTGTTTCCCTCTGCACTTGCCTCTGGGTCCGGGGTCCCCAAGCTCTCCCGTGGGCCCTCTGTATCCTGGGGGCCCACGAGGACCAGGGTGTCCAGCGCTGCCCGTGCTCCCAGGAGGGCCCGGGGGCCCGGCCGGGCCAGGCCGTCCCGTCACCCCAGGAGCCAAGGGCTTCCTCAGGTTAGCAGCCAGCAGCGCAATTTGCTCTGGAAAACACAATCAAACTCTGCATCTCCAACATTTGCACTCTTTCTTTAGGCAGAACTTCCTGCCACTGCTCCTGGCAAGAGGGAACAGTGAATTTGTCCTTTCTGTTTGCCTGTAGCTTTTTTTGGGTTTTTTTACATCTCCAGAGATGGAGATACTAATCATAAATCTGCAGGGTTGATTATTCCTGTTTCTAAAACCACTTTAAAGGATGTCAAGTATTCTAACAAATGACACTTAAATAATTTCCTGAAACAAACTTTAACCTGATCCCAAACAGGGGATGTGACCTCCAAATGCAAAGCAGTCACTTTGAATAAAGAAGGACACTCCCTGAGTACCTGCTCCAAGGAAACGAGGTGCACTGAGGAGAGATGGAGCTCAGAATGACACAGGTTAGGGCAGGAGGTCTCACACAACACTTGAGCCAAAGCTGCTTTCAGTGCATTTTGACCACTGCCATGATGAATCATTTAAAAATACTAATTTTAGAACACCAAAAGACATCCCCAACAAAGTGACCTCCTGAATACAACAAGGTGACCTCCTGAATAATTTCCTTACACTAAAGGCCAATGTAATTTTTTTTTTCATATGAAGACAGAAAATTAACAAACCTCAGAAGCCATTTTATGTTCAGGATTTACTCATCTGGTAATTAAAGTCAGTTTTCTCTCAGTAATACTCACCATTTATCATTTCCCCACAGAGTTCTCTGATATGTTGTTCACTGGCCTCTTTGCCCTGCAGTTAACAGAATAATTTGTCTTTGTAGGAACGTCCTTATCAATAACCAGCCCTGGCAGAAGCTGCAGGACACAAAACACATTTCCAGGAGCTTGGGAAGCAGCACAAGGTCCTGCATGAAGAGCAGGGGCTTCTTTCCCCTCTTCAAAAGGTGACAGCTTCCCTTCAGAACTCTGCTGTACAAATGGCAGCAATTAATTTTAATGTCAGGCCAGATATTTAATCTGGGGTTTATTTGGCCTTATTTTTGCCTGCTAAAATGCAGGACCTTGTTTTTTGGATAGCATCCAAAACCCCACAATCCATTCTTTTCCCTTCACGGGCTCCCTGGCTGTGCTGCAGAAGCAGCAGATACTTACAGGAGGCCCAGGTTTGCCTGTGATGCCAGGGACACCCCTCTCCCCCTGGTGCCCCATGGGTCCTGGATGTCCTGGGATCCCTGGTGCTCCAGCTGTCCCATTAGGTCCTTGGACACCTTTTGGACCAAGTTCTCCTCTTTTTCCTGGCTGCAGTGAAGAATAAAAAAGACCAAAATGACTTAAAATGGAAGTCATGGTCCATTCTTTTCTGCTGGGGGTTATTTAAGACTTTCTTCAGGTTTCCTGAATGGATCTGGAGGATCAGATGCATTTCTTACATCCTAAGGGTGTTTCTGCATATATAGGCCATGATAAGAGGAGTCCTTGCTGCAGCAAAATTATCAAACAGATTTCAATACTTCTAATGCCAGAAATCACCATTTTTCTCATAGATTTTATAGCATGATAGTGAGGAAAGCCTGCTTCTAGGCAATGACACCAGAGCAGAGTTTATTCTATAGTTACGGAGGTGCAATGCTCATGCTTACTCCTAAACCCTTCAGGGCATGAGCCCCCAGGGTCTGACACTTACCTCTCCTTTTTGGCCAGGAGGTCCAAAGGGACCCTGTCAGAAAGAAAAGGGAAATGAGAAAGTGATTCATTCAGAAAATGCACATCTGAAGCCCAATCTCCCAAGCTGCTGTGATGTGTGCAAGGCTTGGGTTGCCCTCTTTTCACAGCAGGGCTGGGGATCTTGGGTGATGAATTCTGACTGACCACAGTGATCCATGGCTTTCTGCACTCATCTGTTCTTTGAGGAGTCAACTGTACTGAATTTAAGGACACCTACCAGCTCTCCTTTGTCACCTGGGAGGCCATCTGCTCCAGCAATGCCCTGAGAGAGAGAGCAGAGTTAACACAGCACCTACTGCTCCAGCAAGGACCTGGATATATCCCCTGGGGTACCCTGGGGGCTCCAGCAAGGAGAAGTTCTCTCTTCCCAAAGCTGGGCTCCACAGAAGCTGCTCCCCTGCTGATGAGGGCAGCTGGAACAAGGCCTGGGTGCCCTTTGCCTCAAGCTGGGACCTGGATGAAAGGCTGAATTCATATGGGTGAGAAAAACGATGGGCTGGCCATGAAAGACATCCACAGGCATTCCTCAAGCAGGGAACCTGAATTTCAGCTCCCCCTGCTCTGTCTCACAAAAAACAGGGTTTGAAGCCACAGGAAAATACTGACTGTTCTCATGGCCTCCTGAGCAGGGTCCCAGCTTCATCCCACCCTCAAACTGCATGATCTCTTGGTGAGGAACATCCCTGCCACTGCTGGGACAGGAATGCAAGGGTGGCTAAAGCTCTGGTGACATCCCCTGTGCCAGCCCTTTGCTGCTCACCTCCACCAGCAGCAGCCTGAGCAATCTGAGCCTGCCTGGGTGCCACAAACCCCTGCAATCCCTGCCCTGCCCAGGGCAGAGCTGGCTCAGCACAGGCTCTGCTGTTAGAGCAGATCATGAACATTGCTATGGACTCCATGGATTTCCAGGGGAAGTTTTCCAAGACAAACAGAGATCAGGTTGGTCTTTCCTCTTAGTAACAAAACACAGAGCACACTGATGCTGGTGAACCAAACCAGCAAAGCTTGCTAGCAAAGCCCCACTTTCTGCAAGAACACAGCCATGCTTTAATAAAAACCATATATTTGATAAAAACTGGCCCAAAACTCACTGCTGAGATTAAACCAAGCATGGACCTTGAGCAGCAAAAAGTGTAAGATTAAGCTAGTTCATTAGTGTGCCAGGCTTTGAGCTTAGGGTGAATTATCCTTCATCAGGCACATGCAGCTGGGGAAAAGCTGCACTTCTAAACTTAACTGGGGAGGAATTTGGTGTGAGGAGCTCCTGCACAGGTCCTTGTGGCCACAAAACACCCAGGGAGGGCCTGGTGTTTGTGCCACAGCATTTTCATGAGTCCCCACTAGAACAGGCAACATCTGTGCCAATGCAGGGAAAATGGGACCAAAGAGGGGTTTGGTTTCTGCTGCAGAATACTTTCATTTGTGGAAGAAAAAGCCATTTGTGCTGTCAGAGGCTGTCTCTGAAATTTGGTTTAAATGCCTCTGCTAACAACAGCATGAAAGTTATCACTTACCTGGTTCCCCTTGGGACCAGGAGCACCAAGAGGACCCTGAAAACAAATAAGAGAAAGAAGCAAATGAGCTCAAACTGTTACTTTCCTATGAATTTCTTGGTGTGGTCAGACACTCTCAGCAAGGGGTCAGAGTCTCCCAGCTGCCAAGTAAGAGGGTACAAATCTCATTGACACTTCCTAGAAACAAGAGGGGATTTAGGCACCCCTGCTAGCGCTGGGACACTCTCCACAGTCCCTGGTTTGTGTTGTGATGTGACAGGAGCTTGGATTTACTTGTGATATAAAACAGACAGGAATATTTTCATACCACAAGGGCAAAAAGCCAAGATGCTTTTTCAAGGCCTTATTAGACAGTCAGTTTTCCTAGGATTTAGAATAAGGTGCTCCTGATTTAAAGATTAATGGAACAACATGGCCACAGGAATAAAATACATTTAGATGATGAACTGATTACCACCTCAGGGATAATCCAGGCAATTTGGAAAATCCTTTCATCTTTATCTACCTGACATTCACAGAGAGACATTTTCAGCTCTATTTGTGGCATTTCTGCTCCAGAGAGCAGAGCCAACAAGGAGTTCAGGAGAACCCCAGATTTTTTTTCTCTGCTGCAAAATCGACATGTGAAATTCAGCCATTTTACCCTTCAAGCAAGATTTTTATAGCCCACTCATCAATCTGGCATCTGCAAACTGATCTTTTTTTTATTAACTAGATCTAGAGATGGCTCAGCAGAACAGAATCTTCAAGAAGAACAAACATACACAACAAGGACGTTTTATTTTGGTCAATTCAAGCACTAAGTTAAAAAGAGGGAGGATTTCTATCAATGAAAAATAACTCAGAAAAACACACAATGGGATGTAGAAATGCAAGAGTGGCTAAAACTTTGTAACACCCATTTTATGTTTGCTGATGGCAAAAGCAACGTATTCCTTTCTGAACATTTTAATCTAAATTTCATACCTCTGACTTCACAGAGGCTCCATGACAGTTTATGGCAATAAAACACAGTTCAGTCACCACAGACCAAGCAAGGAACATTCCCTTAAGGAGAAGCCCAGAGGATTTTCATTCTGAACTCCAATTCACTGCAGGAACAAGGAGCTCAGGACTGCCAGCCCCATGTCTTCAGACATTTCCTCTGATCAGCTCAACAAAACTCATGGTTTTGGCCAAGCATTCAGTGCTCCAGTAGGGAGCCCAGAGAGGCAATGCCCCAGGTGGCTGCTGGCATCCAGAATCCTCAGGAATTTGATCATAATAAAAACCCTTAGGAAAAACATTTGTCTATTGCTGCCTCAGTCAGCAGCAACAGCCAAGCCCTTCCCCTCCCCATATCCCACCCCAGCAGGATGGTTGATGTATTTTATCTCAACACTGTTTTATATCTTACAGTCAGATGCACCACACCACTGGTATTTTCCATGCCAGCAAGCACATTGACTGAAATGCTGGTTTACATGCCTGACCAGCCAGTCCAAGGGCTGTGAAAAAGCCTGTCAGTCCTCAGCTAGCTCAGGCATGGGGGGATTTCTCTTTTTCCACAGAAAATCTCAGTTGATGTCAGGAGAGTTTGATGAGTTGGCTGCAGCTGGGACAGGGTGATTGCAGGGGTGCTGTGTGCAGCTCTGCTCTTTATCCTGACCCAGGGCAGGTCTCTGGCTGCTCTGTGTGTCCCCAGCAGCACAGGCTGCTGGTTCAGGCTACAGAAACACAGCCTGAGGGTTTAGGGTGAGCCCAGCACCACCAGCATGGTCACCACTGAACCACCAAGGACCTCATCCACCCCTTGTTTGAACACCTCCAGGGCTGGGGGTGTTCCATGGGCAGCCTGGCCCAATGCTTTGCAACCCTTTCTGGGGAAAAAAATCCCAATATCCAATCTAAACCTCCTCTGGTGCAGCTTGAGGCCATTTCCTCTCATTCTGAGCAACCAACAATCACATCTCAGAGTAACTGCACTGAACTTCAGAGGCAGAAATAAAACCTAGATTAATTTTTACTGCTTTAAGCACAACATTTTCCCCTCCCTTGGCTTGGAGCAGCTCCCTGGGTGCTTCATGCAGGGGCCTCTTCCCCTCTGAATGTACATTTTTCACCAAAGCAAAGCCCTGAGTGCAGCCAGGAGCCCCAGAGCTCCACAATAACGCTCCTGTTTCACACTTCCAGCCCACAGTCACTCCAAAAGGCTTTTTTAAACCTGCCTGGAGCCAGCACAGAAGGGCCATTGTGGAACCCCTGTGGTGCTGCAGCAGTTGCTTACACAGAAAGCAACTTAAAGCTTTTTTTAAAAAAAAAACTTTCACCTTAAAGCTGGGGAGGAGGGAGCTGGTGAACACATGGCTCCTGTTCTGCAAGCTCCCAAAATGCTGTTCACTTTGCCCTGATGGCTTCTTTCAAATGAGAATGAGCTCATTTAAATAAAAAGTCACATTTATTGTGAGGTGGGATGCCCCAGGTGTTTTGCTGTTCAGAAAGAAAAGTTACTGATAAAACTGTAATTAAAAAAAAAAACCCCAGGGAGTCTAATCAAGCATCTGAGTAACAAAAATTCATGAATCAGCTCTCTTGTGCTCCTGGGGAGCAAGGCTTTGGTGGAACCAGTGTAAGGAACGGGTGAAAATCCAAAACATTCTGTATTTTGGCCAGGATAGGGCCTGGAAGTTGCTTTTAAACAATCCACCCTGTCTGAAAATAGTGGGAGTTTCTGGAGTGGGACAGAAACCAGGAACAGAGGGGACGGCACGCACGAGTCCTGCTCCTCAGGGACAGCCTCAGGGACACCCAACACCCATCAGCTACACCAGGTTTTGGTGCCATTGCCCTCTAGATCCCCACCCCAAGCAGGAATGGCTCCCAGGAGTGCTGTCCTTACCCTGTCTCCTGTCTCTCCACGGATCCCGGTCGGGCCAGGCAGGCCAGGCTCACCACTGGCACCTTTGGGCCCCTGTTGGGAAACAACAAAACCAAGCTGCAGCTCACAGTGCCAGGACCCCTGGAGTTCACCAGGCTCCATAGCATGCTCAGAAAGGTTATTTTTGGATGTCTCTCTCCCTTTTCCCCCAGGACCTGGGCACCACTTGTTGGTTGGTAGAGCTCATTCCAGCTTCTCCCCTGGCCCCAGGTCAGGCTCGTGCCGAGGTGCCCCAACCTTTGGCCTGGGTCTTTCATTATAAACCTCTTAAAATTAATAAACCTTCAATATCTGTGAGGCCACCAAGTGATGCTCCCCTCAGCCAGTGCCAGTGGGGAGTGGAGGCCCCACACCCTTGGAGAAGGGAGGAAGAAATGTTGGAGACCCCAGTGCAGGAGGAGGAATTCACTGAAGAAAAACAGAGAGTGGAGCAGATCAAGGAGAAACTGAGGTCTTTACAAAGATCAAAATGTCATAAAAACCTTAAAATTCAGCTTGTTCCACCACCTGCCACAGGCTGGGACACCTTCCACCAGACCAGGCTGGCCTTGGACCCCTCCAGGGATGGGGCAGCCACAGCTGCTCCCAGGGAAAAGGCTCAAAACCCAACCCCTCCCTCTGCCAACAAACACTAAATATAAATTTCTCCTGCAGGCAGCTTATCTGGCCTTTTGCTCTTTCTACCGCCCGTGGCAATGAAGGTGTCACACTGGTTCTGGCAAATGGAAAGAGATTTCTTTCCTTCCCTCATTGCCATCACCCAAGTGTCTGAGAGAGCACTGCCCTGCCAAAACACCATGAGGACCCCTCTGTGACACTGACCTGGAAACCTCGGACACCACGGGCTCCTATGGGGCCTTGGAGGCCAAGAGGTCCCTGCAAAGAGACAGATCAGCTTTGGTAAGTGTGGGGGTACCAGCTGTGGGTTTTTCTGGGTCTGGATTGAAGGCACTTGAGACAGTAGTTCGTGTTCAGACTCAGGTGTTTATTATTCCTATCACTAAAACAGTCTCACTACTGTGAGTTGGGCAGCTTTTCATTAAAGGCACAAAATGGCCAACAATCTCTTGGTACAAGGACTTTTCAGACTAAACTATCCAATTAAGAGCTGACACCTGGATTATTTTCCCTTTTAACCCAATAACTGATCCCACAGAGCCCACAATGCAGACTTTTCTGCCCAATTACAAAATGACAAACAAACCCATGGAGAAGGAGGAAGAAGAAGCATGAAGAAGAAGCCCAGGATGACACCCTGTGCCCTCCATCTTGCTTCCATCCACAACACACCAAAAACCCCAAAACCTCAATTTCTCACCAAGTGATTCACCTGCACTACTCTCTATAACCTATTTCACACTTTTGTGGGTTCCAGTCTATCTTGAAGTCTGGAAAACTTTCTCCATGAATGAGGGTCAAAGTCAGTGCTCCCCTGAAGGTCAGGGCACCCCAGAGCAGACACAGAAATATTCCCTGTGTGCCCTGGGTTTGCACAGGTAGAACACAGGTAGGGAGAACATTTGGGGCCAGGTGAGTCAGCTGTGTCACTGACCTGCAGAGTGGGCACTTCTGTGCTGCTGAACCCCTGCAAAGTTGGTTTGGAGTTTGCTGAGCTTTGTTAACTGCACTGTTGTTAACAGAAAGGCTTATTTGGGTAATCAGTGCCTAAAAACATACCGTGCTCACCAGGAGTAGAGATCAGGGACAGCAAGGAGTGGCAGCATGACAGAGCACAGACAATGCCATTAGAGGGATCTGCTGTCCCAGGGTCATGCTTTTAATTGATTGCAAGGAACTGCTGCAAAACACGAGCTGCAGGCCCTTGGAAATGAAAAATGGCAATTGCCTCCATTTGCTTGGGCATCCTTGGTTCCAGGAATGCACAAAAAGGCAGCACTTTATGCTGCCAGGGCTTTTAAAAGCTCACCAGACAGAACATGAACATTGCCATTAGGAGTCTCTATTGCTTTCTCCTGAGAAAAAAATCACATATCCAATAAAGATCTTGGATGAAAAAAAAAAAAAAGTAATTTAGGCATTTAAGTCTCATTTTGTAAACTGTCTTCTTGAAATAGATGCCTTCAGCAAGCTTCTGTCACGAGGCAGGGCTGCAGCTTTGGCTCCTTTCTGCCATCCCTGCTGGGTGGAGCATTCAGGGACACAAATAAACCCCAGACTGGCCACTGACATAAAGCAGCATCAGCCTCAAAAAGCTGAACAACTGCTCAGGTATTTTTGTGGTTACTGCTTTCCACTTTGCTTTCTGCTTGTAATTCAGCAAGGAACTTTAAAAGTTATAAATACAAAGCTTTAGGGAAGTTGAGTTAAATTGCATCAAAAATGACTCTGCTGAGCTGCTGATGGGAGCTGGAGGGACCTGACAGGTTCTGAGAAACCCTTGGTACTCAGAGCTAAAAAAACCCTAATTATTTTGGGCCAAACAGCCTCAACACTGGAAAAATCCTGCACCTCTCTTGGAACAGCCCACTCTTGACAAATAAATTATGATTCTAATAATACAAATCAGAACTGAGAAGCCCTGGTTAGACATAACCATGGGTTCAGCTGCAACAGCACCCCTGTCAAAACTCTGCACCAACACAATCAGCTCAACTGCTTTTGCTTTTTGGCTGCAATAATGTGGTACCTTTTGTGAGGCCAGCCACTCTGCTGAAAAATTGCAGACATAAAAGCAAACATTATTAATATAGTTTATTTCTAAAGCTGATTTCCCTCTCCTTGGAAGTGAAAGCAGAAGCTGCTCACAAACAATAAATCATGCAGTTCAATTTCTTCCAAGTGGCACGTACCAGAAATCATATTAGACTTGCTGTAGGCTCCTGGATTTCAAAATGAGATTAAGATGGGGAAAAAAAAGAAAAGGAAAAAAACCAACAAAACCACTAGAAGATCAGATCCAATCCCAATAGCAGCAATGGCTGGGGAGTGACAAGATGAAAAAGTACCCAAGCATTTTCAGTAGTGGGATCAAAATCGGGGTTTTACCCTCCTGATATTATTTGTTATCATCTCTGCTACTGAGCAGGGACTCCATGCAGTTATTCCCAGTTTTGTTCTATCTGTGGCTTCAGGTTTTGCAGGGAATCCCTCTGCACTGCTGCAAGGAAGGGGATGCAGGACTGGGGAGGATTTCAGGTGCCATGTGCTGGTGGCAAAGTCCTTTGTGAAAGCTTCACCAATGCCTCACTCCAGCATGGGCAGCACCTTCCTGTTCCTGTGCAAGGAGGGCCTTGCTGACTGTGCAGCCTCTCTGCAGCTCCACAAACCTCCTGGCAGCTGCAGTTTGCTCTGCCAAGGGAAATGGGAGGGATCCCTTGGCATTTGCACGGAGCTGCCAGTGAGAGCAGGACCTGGCCCAGCCTGGGGAGGAATTTCTCTGCTGCCAAAGCTCCCCAGAGACTCCACTGAGAGAGAAAGTGGCTTTGTCCTGAGAGTGACCCCCCATCCCAGCCCTGTTTTGGCACCTCTCTGGTTCACAGCCAGCTCTGTACTTACAGTTGCTCCTCTGGGTCCTGGCAGACCTCTCTCACCAGGGACGCCAACATCGCCCTGGCAGGGACACCAAAGTCAGCTGTGACACTCAGGAGGCACAAATCCACCCTTCCCAGCCCTCTGGGACACATTCCTGCATCCCAGGCTGCTCAGTGCCCGACTCCTGCCCCACTGGCCCCTCTGCCAGCCCACTGCTGGGGGTTTTGCCCAGTACCAGTGCCCAGCACCCTGCCCAGCCAGCTCAGTGCTCCCTGGGAGCTCCACAGCACTGTGGAATGCCTGGAGTGCTCAGTCCCCTGGCACTGCAGGTGCTGCATCACTGGGAGATTTATTCATGCAAGGAAGCAGCACATGAGCTCCAGCTCCCCAGTTGGGTTTAAAACTCTCCAGCAGGGCCATGGTTGGTGGGAATGGGGGCACTTACAGGGATGCCAGGCTCTCCAGAGGGACCTGCCTCTCCCATCTCTCCAGGGCTGCCCTGCAGAGCACAAAGCAAACACTCAGTGAGGGCAGCACTTCAGGGAGTCATTTCTGTCCTGCCCGAAGCAACAACGGGAGAGGGAGTTAAAACCTGGATCAGGGAATAAAAACAGCTGTGAACTTTTACAGATTTAAGGCAAAACTCGCAGCACCAGGGGCCCTGCCAGCCCCAGGCAGTGTCCCCATGTCGCACAGCATGCAAGGACATCCCATCCCATCCCATCCCATCCCATCCCATCCCATCCCATCCCATCCCATCCCATCCCATCCCATCCCATCCCATCCCATCCCATCCCCTCCTGCACCCCCTTCACAGCAGCAGGAGATTCCTGCCCCACCTTCCTGCAGCTTGCTCTCCTCCCTGAGGATCAGCAGCAATAATGATGCAGAGGGAAAAATTCATAAAGGAGAGGGACAGGGGAAGAAAAGACACCTCTGAGAGCAGCTTTGTGCTGGACTGCTTTGGTGTGCCTGAGGCTTTCTTTTATCTCACAGGTAGGTGTCAATCTAAAGCTCCATGGAAGGTTTTTTCCTGAGGTGAGGGAAAATCTGCAGAAGGCAAGATGAGCTCATTCTGCTCCTGCTGGTGCTCAGCCTTTTGATTCCCAAAGACCAAACCTCCTCCTGGGACTCTGACAAAAGGATGAGGTTTTACTAAACCACTGATGACTCTCCTGTGGATCTGCTGTGTCTTTACTGAGCCAGGTGCCAGCCCAGTTATTTTACTTAATTCCAGATCTTCAGCCCCATCAGAAATACAGAAACCATCACTTTGGGGTAAGTCCTCCCAGTCCCCCAAGGATAAAAAGTCTTGCTGTGACCAGTTTCCCCACAGACCCCATCATTAGAGAGATTCACTTACTGGTTCACCCTTTGAGCCTTTAATACCTGCTCTTCCAGGCAGACCCTGAAAAAAATCATATTAAAGCAATGTCAGAAGAAGTGAAGTTATTAAATTTGTTATTCTGGTCTGATTTGACACACAAGGAGCGGCCTTTGCTTGAAGCAATGGAAGGTTTAGACTTCTGCAGCTTTCACTGTGAAAATTATGATTTCAATGTCTCTCTTGCTGCCTCTGCAGCTCCATGAACACTAATCCTTGGCATGAGAGCAAAGAGCAGGGATGTACAAATGGACCAGCAGCAGCAACGTTTTGCACTGCAGAAACCTCTCTCCAGAGGAGTTCAAAATATTCTGCAAATGCAGGAAGAAAGGAATACTTGATCTCTTTTAAATAGTTGGAAGTCTGGAGAGATGAAACCTTTTGCCAATAAGCAAGGAGTGAGGCAGGGACAGAACTCAGGATATTACACCCCAGACCTTACCTCCCTCCATAAGGGATGCACATCAGTGGGATGTGAAAGAGAAAACCCCTCTCAAGTTTAGATTTCAAAGAGTCAGAGAAGCCAACAGGCAGGGAATTACTGTGAGCTGCTACTCCAGGTGTTCTCCAGTCCTGTATGGCACACTCCTTCCCTGACCACATTCACAGGGGTCCGAGGATGAGGGAAGAGATGAGGATCTGACTCCATGTTTCAAGAGGTTTGATTTATTATTTTATGATATATATTATATTAAAACTATACTAAAAGAATAGAAAAAATGATTTCATCAGAAGGCTGGCTAAGAATAGAAAAAGAAAGAATGAATAACAAAAGCTTCTGTCTTGGACAGAGAGTCCGAGCCAGCTGGGCTGTGATTGGCCATTAATTAGAAACAACCACATGAGACCAATCCCAGATGCACCTGTTGCATTCCACAGCAGCAGATAACCATTGGTTACATTTTGTTCCTGAGGCCTCTCAGCTTCTCAGGGGGAAAAATCCTAAAGAAAGGATTTTTCATAAAAGATGTCAGTGACACATTTCCTCTTGGCTCAACTAGAGCTCCTTGTGAAACAGCCCACAGAAGGACCCTGCCCTGTCCCCAGGAGGATCCCTGCAGGCACACTGAGCCCCCAGAGGTGGCAGGTCCTGCTCCATACTCACGGGAAGTCCATTTGGCCCCTTCTCTCCAGGAGCACCCACGGGAGCTGCGTCACCCTGTGGATAGGGACAGGTTAGGAGGGATCCTCCAGCACAGGGAATGGCCTGGCACAGGCAGGGGACACATTCCCACACAGGCATTTGGACTTTTCTCCCTCCCTGTATGCACAGGAGCAAGAGCTGATGTGTCCACAGGAGCTCCCAGAGTTTCCCTGCTCCCTGCAGCTCATGTCCAACATTCCTGCAGGAGCTCTGCTCAGGAACCAGGCAACCAGCACCTGACAGCACCTCGTCCCCAGGCCATTGAAATCAGCTCTGTCAAGGCATCTCTGAGGGCCTGGAGCCAGCCAGCAGGAACCACTGAACCCAGGGGCACAGCTGAGCTTTCATCGTTTGTGCACCTCCCTTCTCTAGGGAATTCCCTCGGGATTAACTGACAGGAGAATTTCACTCCCTTCACTAGTGACAATATCAGAAAACTCTTTAGAAGGAGAAGCTTTCCAGCCAAGCTTCCTGAGGAGCACTGCAGCCCTGCAGGCCCAGTCTGAGGAAGCCTCCCTGCAGTGTGAAGCAGGACTTTACAAACCTTCTCACCATCGAGTCCAGGAGCTCCGTCCCGCCCGTCCTTGCCAGGCATCCCCTGCAACCATGGACAGCACAGCTTTAGGTCAGAGGAGGCTCTGTGGTTTGCAAAATTCACATCAAAGAAGCTTTTGGCAACACGTCCAGCTCCAGTTGTGCTGGGGGGTTTTCATTAGCAGCAGTACAACTGTGGCTTAGCCCAGCTGGGCTTGCACAGAGAGCACAGAGCAGGAGTCTGACAGCAAAGAGGGCAAGAAGCAGATTTTTGCCTGTTCTGTTTGATCCCCTCATCTGCAAGCAAGACAAACAGCAGGACCTGCCTCCTGCTTAACTGACTTACAGGTTCTCCTATGAGCCCACGAGCCCCTGGGTTTCCTTTTGGTCCAGGTTTACCCTAGAAAACAACAATAAATCCTGAATGAATTAACGTGAAAAACAGTCAGTGAAGACAACACTCAAATTCTGTAGGGACATTTCATTCCATTTCAGCTGAGTCCTCTCTGTCCACAAAAGTTTGGAGGCTGTTTTGGGACACAGCAGGAAACCAACCCAGTTCTGGATGCAACACCTGGGAAGATCCTTGATCATTTCAAGGGATGGAAATGTAAGATCTGCTCCCTGTGCTCCAGGCTGTAGCAGCACTTGGACACCTTAGAGTTAAACATCTCATTTTTGAGATGATGCTTCCATCCCTTTCAAGCAAATGAAGGGAGCACAAGCCATAATAAACCCGTGGAAGAGTCCTGGCTTGGAGCAAAGGGAGTTTGGAGCAAAGTTTGGCTGCACTTACGGTGTCACCTTTGGGCCCCCGGAATCCCTGAGGTCCTTTGCTCCCTTGGTCTCCCTGTGACAGAGGAGGAAAAGCCATTAAAGCATCTTCATCACACAATGGCAGAGATTGCTGCTTTGGGAGTGAAATGAGGAGGGTTTTGTGCTGTTTGCTTTGGGTTTTGTGCTGTTTGCTTTGGTTTTTGTGCTGTTTGCTGGTGTCAGCAGAGGTGTGAGCACACACAGTCCCCCGAGAGCTGGGCTGCACTTTCTCAGTGACTCCCCAGTTCCTGACACACCTTCTGCAGCAGGGACCTTTTCCCAGTTCCTGACACACCTTCTGCAGCAGGGACCTTGCCAGCAATCCCTCAGGGCAGGGACCATCTTCCCCTTCATTTAATGAAGCAATTTCTTTAAGCAGAAACAGAGTGGGAGAAAAGCTCTAATATTTACTGTCTAGGTCCTGCTGGGTGTAATGAAAGGTTTGCTGAGAAAGCACCTCATTTTGTTTTAGTTTGGATGAATTTCTTCTATAATTGCAAGACTAGGGAGGAGTCCCCAGAGGGTGGTGCTGCAGAAGGATGGGGATTTCATCTTCAACACACAGTTATTCCTGCTTGGAGCAAAAATCCTTGAGAGCTGTGGGCACCTGGGAACAGAGCAGGCTCAAGGGATGTAAGCTCACAAAAGGGCTGATTCTTCCTCCAAAAGTAATGGATATTCCCTTCTCCAAGGCTTGCCCACAGCTGCTGGTGCTCAAGGAAGGGCAGTGAAGGACAGAGAGCAATGGAAATGTGGTGAACTTATTCTGATGTGGGGCATGGCAAAGGGAGAGACATCGTGAGGTCTAGGACAGGTAAAATAACATTGCTCTGAGTGGAGGGAAAGGGAAAAGGGAATAATCTGCTGGAGGTGGCCAGCACAGCCTCTGCTCACTGGCAGGAGGAATAAACAAACAGGCTGTGGAAGGCAGGGCCACAGAGAGCCTGGGATACATACAGCTCTGCCTGGAGGTCCTGGGATTCCAGGTGGGCCCCTGAATCCAATGTCACCCTGCAGAGGACAGACAGACAGACAGACAGACAGACAGACATCATTGTGAGCCTGGGCTTGGCAGAGGGTGAAGTAACAGAATCCCCACCTTGTACCACAGAAAACACAAAAGCCCTGGAAAGACAACCCTGATTCTCCTGCTGCTTTGCAGGACAGACTGCAAAAAATCCCACCCTGACCAAAGGGTTTTAGTCTGGATCTCCCCACCTTTGTAGCTCTGACACACTGACAGCATTCATGGCCTTGCTATCTTGATAACACTCTCACTCCTCAACAAATGCATGACTTCATCCAATTCAAAACCATTCAGCCTCTGGGCTGCTGGTCAAGGGACTGTGACAAGAATCCAAAACCTCAATGAGCTGGAGATTGACCCTGTTCTCACTGAGGAGCCTTTTTGTGTCCTGAAAACCTTTGTCTGGCTTTTTCTTATGAAGAGACAGACAGAAAGTGAAATGTTCATGAAATGTTTCTCTTTTTTTTGGGGTGGTTTTTTTTGTTGTTGGTTTTTTGGTTTTTATTCAAGATTCTATAGCACTGCCAGTGCTGCCCTTTGGTTGGAATGACTCAGTCTGGCTGGGGCTGACCCTGCCAGTCCCTTGGGTGCGTGAATTCCTGACTTTGGGAGGCTGTTCTGATGGAGGGGCTGCAGGGAACAGACCACACTTTATACCTTTAGGAGTTTCCCAGTGGGATTCAGTAAGGACAAGTGCCACTGGCACCTCTCAAAAGAGAAACTGGTGGTGGAGAGGAAAAGAAAAAAAAATCACAAGTTTTTTTCTTACTCTGTCGCCAGCTGGACCCATTGGACCAGGGAGGCCTCTCAGTCCTCTTGGGCCCTAATTAAGGAAACAAATCAGTTCAAACTCAGTCACTGTTTGTGTAACCAAGGTGACTCCACATGACATGGCCATGGGAGAGGAGAAGGGAAGGGAAGGGAAGGGAAGGGAAGGGAAGGGAAGGGAAGGGAAGGGAAGGGAAGGGAAGGGAAGGGAAGGGAAGGGAAGGGAAGGGAAGGGAAGGGAAGGGAAGGGAAGGGAAGGGAAGGGAAGGGAAGGGAAGGGAAGGGAAGGGAAGGGAAGGGAAGGGAAGGGAAGGGAAGGGAAGGGAAGGGAAGGGAAGGGAAGGGAAGAGAAGAGAAGAGAAGAGAAGAGAAGAGAAGAGAAGAGAAGAGAAGAGAAGAGAAGAGAAGAGAAGAGAAGAGAAGAGAGAGAGAGAAGAGAAGAGAAGAGAAGAGAAGAGAAGAGAAGAGAAGAGAAGAGAAGAGAAGAGAAGAGAAGAGAAGAGAAGAGAAGAGAAGAGAAGAGAAGAGAAGAGAAGAGAAGAGAAGAGAAGAGAAGAGAAGAGAAGAGAAGAGAAGAGAAGAGAAGAGAAGAGAAGAGAAGAGAAGAGAAGAGAAGAGAAGAGAAGAGAAGAGAAGAGAAGAGAAGAGAAGAGAAGAGAAGAGAATGGGGTTACCTGCAGGCCAACACCGCCGGGAATCCCTGGAGGGCCAGGAGGGCCAGGGTTACCCTGAGACAGAAAAATCAATCAGACAGAAGGAGGGACAGCAGGAGCCTGCAAACACAGCCAGGGACAGCCCCATCTTATTCCTCCTTGAGCTCCCTCCCTCTCTCCCTCCCTCCCAGATTTCTCTTCAGAATTTGTTTCTACATTATGGACAATTTCTATGTGCAAGAGCATTCAGGTCAGACAGGAACTCATCCAAGTGATTAGAGCAGGAATTTATCCAAGTGATTATCAGTCAGGAATTTATCCAAGTGATTAAAGAAGGGCTTTTCCTGAGCTGACATCCCTGCATGGCAAAGAATAGCTGTTAACTCAAACTGATCCTAACATGATGATCTTGGAAAGATGAATTTTCCTGGGGAGTCAGCACATGGTCCTACAGGGAGAGCAGTGGAACCCAAAGCACTTCAGCCAAAGTGACTGCTCCTTGTTCAGAAACAGCCTCTTTCCTCCCTGCCTCCTTAAAAAAAAAATCCATTATTTCTTTTTCAAGTTGTTATTAAAGAGAAAAATCCTCCCCTGTTACTTTTAAGTTTAAATGTACCTTTTCTCCTTGTTTTCCTACTTCACCAGGCTCCCCTTTGTGACCAGTGTGTCCCTAGAAATAAGAGTTAGGATTATTCACATCCCAGTAGAGTCTTGTTTCAAAATGAGATTTGGTGAGACAGCTGTGAAGCCTAAACCCCACCTCCCAAATGACTCTCAGGGAGAGCAGGCTGTAGGTGTGCTGTGAATGGAGATCCCTCCTGGGGAAGGCTGGCAGGTACCAGTGCCATAATTGATGCAGCTCCTGAAAATGCCCAGATTTGGTTTTCCAGAGTGCCTTGCACTAAGCTCATGGTCTGGATGCAACTCTCAAACACACATCAGGGACCAGAACTCAGCTCCCATCACCCCAGAAAATGGGGATGAGTCACTCCTGAGAACCCCAACCTGCATTTTTAACCTCCCTTTTTACATCATCTGTAACGTCTGCATCACCAAGCTTTCAAAGAAATCCACGTCCCACCGAGAGCTTTCACATAAGCTCTGACTCACTTCGTGTCTTGGCTCTGTTCCTGTGGCTGTGGGAGAGACCCAGGCTCATTCCAGCCATGGCAGATGCTATCCCTCACCACAACAAAGGTCCTGTGCACCACTTGCATCATGATTGGAGAGTTTCACTGGGCTTTCCATTGCATGAGCTATGAATTTTGAGCAGTTATCCCTAAACATTTTGTATTTGTAATGATATTTATGACTCAGTGCAGAGCCCAAGCAGACAGGGAAAGTGGGAAAGGTCACTTCAGGAGGAATTGAGAGCATTTCCCAGGAGTTCTCCCACTCACTGCCAACTTCTAAATCCTGCTAAAAGAACTTGAATCACTTTTTACTTTGTCTCACTGCTGGAGTCCATAACTGCAAGGACATAGAGGGGACAGAGGAGGAGATGTTTCACTCCTGAGTGCTGAAAATTTGCATACCAGAGGCCAACAAAATAATTCTCTTTAAAATATTTAAACATAAATCTGCCTGCTGCTACACTGGCTATAAAAACAACAATTAAATTATATTATATTAATTATGTAAGTTACATTTTACAGTTTAAGAGCTGGTGAGGTTTTTCCAGCTCTCAGCACCTGGTTCTTGAGGCAGCCCTGAATTGCTGCCCCTGTTTGTTCCTGTCCATCAGCTCTGCCCCAGTGGCCTTGCAGGGGTTTTTAATCTATGCCAAGGGTTCAATTTCATTTGTAGGAATAAATGCAAATGCATGGCTGCTTTAGGAGCTGTGGAGCCTACATGTAGGAGCTGTACATACAATTTAATAGTGGTGTTTATTTTGGGAGACAAATCTGGAATTGCAGGTGATGTTTCCTTACCTTGAAGCCTGGCATTCCTGGGGGGCCTGGGGGACCTGGTGGGCACAGAGCTGGGCACTGCAGGGAACAGAAACACTTTGGGTTAAGGGGCACACAGCACACCCAGGGAGGCTGGCTCCATCCAGGAGGTGAAAAAGTCATTGTGGATTTTGGCTCTAAATTCACTAATCACAGCATCATGGGTTGACCAACATTTCCCTATGGAACAGGGTCCTAGAAGTCCTGGTACCCCACAAAACAATGATTTATGAATGGCCTACTCCCCTCTGGACATGGGCTGGGAGCCTTTCTGAAGGCTGACAGTGTCCACAGTCCAAAATGCTGAAGAACCCAGTGAAGCTGGATCAGTTTCTTTAAATCATTTGGACCACATTAAATCCTCTGCATTAACTGACCCCTATTGATTTCTTTTAGCCAACTCCTTAAAAGAAACAAGGACAGGCATCAGAGTTAATTGAAGGGCACCAATAAAAAACCAAAACCTATAAGCTGCTATCTGCAGATGTCCAGGGGTGGGAGAGCCCCTGGTGGGAACTCCAGCTTGACTGGAAATTTAATGAGGAAAAGGCCATAGTCTTGAAATGTTACAAATAGCTCTCAATTTGTTTTGGTTTTTTTGTTTTTTTTTTTTTTTTCCTTTTAATACAACTTCAGGCAGCACCTCTGTAGCAAAAATTTAATTTTCTAGTATATTCCACAGGGTAACTTAAATTAAACATGCAGAAATAGCAGCATTTCCTATTAACTGCCATGTGATGTGCCATCAGGCAGTCTAAACTGACTCGGAGCTTTTTTTGGGACATGCCAATTAGGAAACCAGAGAAGCTGTCACAACAACAGCTGTGAAATCTGCAAATGTCACTTCCATCATTCCTGGACCCAACACTCCTTTGGTTCCCCCAAGAGAAGGGGATCAGGGCTTTCTGCTGGGGAAGGAAGCTTAAACAAAGCCTAAATGTGTCCATGGAACCCTGGGCCACCATCCCTGGAAACAAGCAGGGCTGCACACTCTGCCTTTCCTGTGCAGGATTGGAAGCATGAAAAGCTGTTGTCATGTTGTTACCAAATGCTGGATTTGTTTAGCACAGGAAGAGTGCATGCAAAATGTGCATTTTGGGAACCAAAAATCGAGGACAAAAATCAAAGAGTGGTTTGGGTTGGGAGGGACCTTAAAGCTCATCCCATTCCACCTCTGCCATGGCAGGGACACCTCCCACTGTCCCAGGGGGCTCCAAGCCCTGTCCAGCCTGGCCTGGGACACTGCCAGGGATCCACAGCTTCAATGGGAAATCTGTTCCAGTGCACATCTGCCTCCTTGAATGAACATTTCACATTTCAGTCCAGAAAACACATACCCCACTCTGATAAGGTGCTTTAAACCCACACCTGCAGGTCTGAGCAGTGCATGTTAAATGGTCTGACACTCCTCCAGCTGTGCCAACCAAAAGTCACATCAGGGATTAAAGCAAAGCATATTTCCATGTTACATAAAGAAAAACCTACCTGAAGGTCCCCACCGCCGTCAGGAAGGGCACCTGGAAGACCCTGCAATTCAGGGAAGGGTGGCTTTTAAACACAAGGCAAACACCAGGAGGAAACACAATTTCTAGGACAACTTTTACAGACCCAGCTCAGTTGGATCAGCACAAGGCACACCCAGAGCCAGAGCCCAAAGTGCTGCCCTGAACCTGGAGTGTTCTGAGCTGCACCAGTCCCCAAAAGCAGACACAGCAGGGGTGAAACCATCCCTGGAGAGGCCAGGGAAGACTCTCGGGCTTTAGGTGATGAAGGCAGCAATTGGAGGGGAGCAGATGAGCCTGGCTTCCTCCTGGCCTTGGGAAAGACCCCCCAGTCCCCCTGTTCAACACTGCAGAGAGGCCACAGCAAACCCAAAGCAGGGACTGTTGCAGACATTTTTATGAAAAATCCTTTCCTCAAGATTTTTCCTCCTGAGAAGCTGAGAGGCCTCAGGAACAAAATGCAAACAATGGTTATCTGCTGCTGTGCAATGCAACAGGTGCATCTGGGATTGGTCTCATGTGGTTGTTTCTAATTAATGGCCAATCACAGCCCAGCTGGCTCAGACAGAGAGTCCGAGCCACAAACCTTTGTTATCATTCTTTCCTATTCTATTCTTAGCTAGCCTTCTGATGAAATCCTTTCTTCTATTCTTTTAGTATAGTTTTAATGTAATATTTATCATAAAATAATAAATCAAGCCTTCTGAAACATGGAGTCAAATCCTCATCTCTTCCCTCAACCTGAAACCCCTGTGACCACGGTCACACAGGGATTTGACTGCAAGTCCCCACTTGCTGGCCCTGCAAGCACAGAACCTGATCCAAGCAAGCACAAAAACCTTCCTTGAGAGAGCAGCAAGCCCATCCCACGCCCTGTGTGCCATAAAGGTGGGGTTCATTGGGTGCCTCCTCACACAGAGCACCAAGAACAAACTGGGGATCATCATCAAAATGCCCAAGGGCAGCAGGGGAAAAGTCCTCTCCTCAGGACATGGTGTTTGCTGAATGATCGTGGCAGTGGCAACAAATAAAAAGTGCAGCAAGAAGAAAATTCCAGACTCCCCCCAGGAATTTTCTCACATTTATTTGCAAGTCTCAACTTACAGGAGGCCCAGGTGGTCCAGGAGGCCCTGGGAATCCTGGCAGACCAAAAGGTCCCTGAAAGGAGAGGAAAATAGTGAGAATTCCCTTTCAAAGTAAATGCAAGGGGATGTGAGGGGTGGCTACCAAAATATCACTTCAGAGAGAGGTAAGAGACAAGAATTAAACTCATTCTTCTGTGGTTGTGGCACATTCAGCAAATGAGGATTAAATGGAAGGAGAAACTCACAGAAGGGCCCCGAAATCCATGTCCCCCTGGGAGCCCACTGGGTCCTGGAGGCCCCTGTTGGACAGAGAGAAGAGCTTCAATATCTGTGCTGACCTGGAGCCCCAAAGCCAGGGGTACCCAGCAGCTGTGATGCCTTGAGAGGCTGCCTGGAACAGAGGCTGGACAGAGCTAAGGCAACAAAGCAGGGATTTATTAAAAGGCCTTCAAAGGATGCACCTTGGGCAGTACAAGAGCCCAGCCATGGCTACACCCAAGATGGACCCTGAGTCACAAGCTCTCAGACTTTTATAAGTTTTGGTCCATTTCCATATTGGGGTTCAATGTCCAATTCCAGCTCCAGGTGATGCAGTCCCACCCTCCCAGCTTGCTCCCTTCAATTCCCTGCTGTTTGCACTTGTTGGGGCTGGAGCTGCAGTGTGCCCTTGGTTCTGGGGCTGGAACAGGATTGTTTTGTCAGACTACACTGTGAGGAGAACTTGCTAACCCTTCCTATGAAGTTCAGAGTTCCACACCAATGCAGTACAGAGTCAGGAAAACACGAGAGCTCAGACTGAAGGCATCAGCTGGGCTGCCCCATTCACCCATTCCCCCCAGGGAGCTCCATCCTGCACCACACCAGAGCTTCCCAAGGCACATCTTGTTTTTTACTCCAAGAATTCCCCTGGAATTCACTGCCAATCTGCATCCCTCAGGCACAGGGCAGCTCCCATGTGCCCACCAAACTCCCACTGTTTCCAAGGCTGCTGAGCCTTGAGTTTACACCAGAGAAAGCTTCCCCAGGCTGGGGACAGGACAAAAACCCCACAGGGTCCATGACCTGCAGGACTCCTGGCACAGTAGAAGGACCCAAGGCCTGGGGTGGGTTTGGAACACTCAGGGTATCCAATAAAATCAGAGCCTTAATTTTTAATTTTTTAAAAAAAACATATTCTTATTACTTACTGGAGGTCCTGGTAGTCCTTTGCCCTGAAAACAACATTTGAAACAGTAAAAGGTCACTCAGAAAATGTGCACACAGGAAAAATACTGCTAATTTTCTTTTTGTTCTAAGTTTTCTTATCACTCCCTTGCCCCATTATAATGATTGCAATTTGCAATCAAAGCAGAGTTTTGATGAATTCTTTTGCTGCCTCTAATAATTTGTATTCCCTTTCCATCTCTGTTACCTAAGAGATATCTGTGAGAAAAGAGATGTGTGGTGGCACAAGGGTGGGACATGGAGAGGAAGACAACATTCCAGTTTATCTATTTCCCCTTTTTCTTTTCCTTTTAATTTTGATTAGACATTAGACAATGTCTAATAATTGTGATAGCATTTGATATGTCAGTCTGTATCCCAAGTTGGTTTGCTTTTAGAGCACCTCAGAGGATAAAACCAGGTCTGTGTTACCAGAGCAGGTCACACATACATATTTAAACATTTCAAACAATATATTCACTCATTCAGGCTTTGATCCTTTTGTTTGGGATACAAAGCTTCCCATCCTCTCTTGGTGGTGGCTTTGGCACAATATTCCACCCTTTCATCACATGAGCTGCCCTGGGAGGTACTTACAGCTGGTCCAGGTGGCCCAGCAGGTCCTAATGCACCCTGTGGAAATAAAACAGGACAAAAATCAGCAGGGATAAAAGAGGAACCTCCACATGGAGAGTCACCAAGGCCTGCTCTCATTGACACCAATCTTTGCTTGGAAACTCCAGCAGTGTCTTGCAGAAGCAGGACAGAACTGGAGATGCTCAGCTGAATTCACACATATAAGGACAAAAACTTATGGATAATTACTCTGGAAGTCCCAGCTGGCCTCAGATGAATATCTAAAATATCCTCCATGAATATCTAAACGTTCATAACTTGAATTCTATCTACTTGAAATATTCTCATTCATAATACATTCATATTGTAGATCCAATTACTAAGTTTCCTAAAACTATTAACAGAATTTGAATTTGTTCTAGTGAATTGTATTAATTCATCTATTTTCCTTTCAAGCAAAGCCAAAGATTTGGCAGCTTCTGCTTCTTCACTTGCTTCCTTGGCAATTCCCCCATCTCCTTTTCCCAATTTGCATTCCCACTCTTAGGCTTGACTGGAGCTTGGTGAGCTCATGGCTTAGACTGGAATTGAGTCACTCTTGAAGCTGTGAAGCTCCTGCTTGACTGAAGATAAGAGCACAGAGAGGCCTCCTTAACCCCTTTGCTGCATTGCCAGCAGGCTGTAACCTTCATTATGGGAGACAATTCTGAAACAGCATCCCAGAATGGTTTGGGTTGGAAGGGACCCTAAAGCTGATCTTGTTCCACCCTCTGCCATGGGCAGGGACAGCTCCCAGGGCACCAGGGTGCAGGAAGAATCTTCCATGGCCTCTCCCCAGCCCAAAGCTCCTTCCCAAGCATCCCCAAAATGCTGCACACAAACATCCTGAGGAGATGTCCTGAGCTGGAATCAAAGGGTGTCTGCCCCTGGGAGCAGGAGAACAAGGTTGGGCTGAGCTGGAGAATGTCCCAGCACACACAGTGTGCCCCCAGGGATTACACCTGCCTTCTGCTCCTGCTCTGAGGGCCTGAGACATGAACTCTAAAGAATTTAGGGATTTTAGAGGAGGTTTTAGTTAGAGATAAGCTTTATTGGAGTTAATTAAAATAAATGGGTAGGCCTTGATGAAGTTAAGAGTTAGTAGTTAACTAATAATTGATTGCTTGTCCACACAATGTTTGCTTAGCTGGGTTTATAATGAAGAATATAGAAACTCATAAATAGCTTTTAGGAACATAAGACAATTGTGGCCTCCTCTGTTCTGGAACCAATTGAAGATGGGGAATGGGAGTTCTACCAAGGGTTCATTTGTCAGATTTACATTGAAAAGGTCAGAACAAAGAAGACTTCATTTACTTCCTCATTTTGGGACCCCTCCCCATGAAAGGGACCACCAACCCATTTCAAGGAACAAACTACACATGCTTAATGGCTTTTGAACTAATTACCATAGGGGGAATGGGATGCACCAAAGTTATGAATATGCATTTGTATTTTGGGTATTCAATACTTGTATAGATAAAAGGACCCTGTAATCACCTGTAAATCAATACTTGTATAGACAAAAGGACTCTGTAATCACCTGTAAATTGCGGGGTGTATTTGGGAGCTATCCCACAATAAACAAACACTTTCTAACTTTAAACTGTTCGAGAGTCTTTGTCCATCACAGTTGGATATCGGCACTAGATCAATATCCATATTTTATAATAAATCAGGCCAAAGGAGATTAGAAATGCTTTCCCTTGTTAAGCTTAAGGAGAAAGACACAGAGCACCCAAGGCCTTGTTGAGAGCGGTCCTGTGAGCAGAGGACAGTAATCCAATAAAAATCAGCTGTGCTGTGAATGTCAGCTCATTCATTTCTCCTGCTGCAGGTTACTCTGCTCTGCCCCCAGTCGCTTTTATCTGCAGGCTGAAAATCCTCACAACTGCTGCTGGCTGTAAGGGACCAGCTGGGATCTCCTCCTGCAAGGAAAACATTGAATTCCTGGCACCTCCTGACTTGCACCCTCATTCTGAAAGCAGCTGGATCACCCCTTTCTGCTTTGTCCAACAGGCCAGAAAGATGGCAGAGCACCCAAAATGCCAAATGGGCATTGGCCCTTTACTCCCTAATTTTGATTCCTTGGAGGGTGTGAGATGCAGAATGCAGCAGTGAACATTCCTGGTAAGGTAAGAGATTGTGAAATCCCTGAATGAGCTGATGCTACTGCCTTGAGGCAAAGGAAAGACTCTAATTTACATCTCAATTTTAATAACATTGTCTGATTCGACTCATTCTCCTGGTAACAATGTTCTTTCTCTTTTGATTAGAAAACACTATCATCATAATTTTTCATTTTGTAGTAATTTACCCTGTGAATAGACAGCTATGGAGTGTAGAAAACACTTGATTATTATGACATTCATAAATAGAAGTGAATAATTATGTTTTCTTTACTGCTTTCATTGGAAAGCAACAAACTTCAAAATGGCCTTTGAGAACTTTCCAATGAAGGATACCAGTATCTAACATGGAGGTCAGGACCCAGCTAAAAATAAAGGGGTTTTAAAATTGAAAAAACAAGTAGACTTGATCTAATCAGTCTTTAAGCAGAAGCAGGAGAAAAGCTAATGGATGCTGAGAGCAGCAGGAGGTATTTGAGATAAAAAACTTTTTGGAAATGTTTGGCAATAAATCATTACGAAAACTGGCTTCCATGAGCCCACTTCCCTATGCTAAACAGCTTTGCTCTCAGACACTCCAGTTGAGAAAATTAAGCTTATTTAGAAGAAATCAGAGTGTTAAGCATGAATTCAAACCCACAGCAATAAGTAAACAGCTTATTTCAGTGAGTACTGCAAGACTGAGATCTGTTCTACAAGACAGGGAGGAAAAAAAGCAAGTTGGGCTAACAATGCTCCATTTGGAGTGCTAAAGCTTTCTGAGGTCCCCCCTTTTCCCAGGTTTTTATCAGACCAATTAAAGCAATTTCCCAGATGGACCAGTGACCTTGAAAAGCTCCCATACATGAGGAGGGGTCCCAGGTGTGCCCCTGCTGCCAGGTTGAGTTACAAGAAAGGGGAGAGCCCAGCAAACCCCAGCGCGCAGCGAGGGCAGCTCTGCCTGTCTGGGGCAGCCAGGGGGGAATTCCTGTGCCCAAAAATCCTCTGCTCAACTGCCCTGCAAGGCAGGAGCTGTGTGCTAACGTGGGCACTGCCACCCAGCCCCAAACAGGGCACAGAACTGCTCACAGCCTCCCATGGGTGCTCCCGAGCTTCCCTCCTTTAAAAATCAGGGATCTGCTCCCAGATGCTGCTGGGCTCTTGCCACAGAATGTCTGAGATTGCCAGGATGTGGCAGGTCTGCATCTCTGGGCAGAAAGATGGGCACAAGGGACAGAAAAGGAGTGGGGTTTAGGGGGGTGGTGATGGACACAGGCTTGGGGCTGTGACCAGGATTTTTGGGTCCTGCCACTCAGCTTTGCCAGTGGCCACACAGACTTTGTCTGTCACATGGCAAAGGAAGAAGAGCATACCACAAATACATGGCTGTACTGTTCATCCCCTGAAATAACTCACGGATTTTTTAGATTTCAGTAAGTCCTTGGGCCAACAAGTGGATTATTGGGACATACTGAACAGGTGACAGAAATCCAGCTCATCGCTGCAGCCCTGAGTCCAAGAGGCCAGCAAGCCAGCTGTGGACACAAGCCTTATATTGCCCTCTGGGAGGCAGGAGAACAGCCATGCTGGATCACAATCTGTGCTGAGAGGCTCATTAATGATTATTCCTTAATGTCACAGGGAGGCCTGAGAGGGGAGATGACTGTGGATGATCTGAAGGACATCTGTGTCATCTCTGGCAGCTGTTCCTCTGTCCCTGTGGTGCCCCTCAGCAGAGATAGAACACACAGAAAACAGAAAAAACTCTTATTTCTTGCTAGGCTGGCTGGGGAACACTATGGCAACTAATAATGAAACCATATGGACAGTTCCAGAAATAATAAAAGGCAAAAGTTCAAACAATTAATACACAGTAGCATTAATTATAAACAACACAGATCTCACAACTTGAACTGCAAATAAAGGCCAAAACAACTTCATTTTGATAAACTTCACCACTGAGTCTGTTGACTGCCTCAAGAAACTTTTTGGATACTTGAAATATCCCCAGTCCAGCCACCACTGAGGCAACCCAAGCAGGTTCAAAGCCATGTGAAAGAAAGGTGGATTTCATGCCCTGCCTAATGAAAAGCCAACTGGGGCTGCATTTCAAGGATCCAAATATTCTGCAAGGGTTTACATCAGAATCAACACTTGAATATCCCCAATCTACAGCAGAATGTGAAAATCATCCCTACACTCAGTGATAATGAGCATTTAAAGGGATTTAGGATCTAATGAGGTACTCACACGGTCTCCTGGAGGCCCATTTGGGCCAGGTGGGCCATCAGTTCCTGTTAAACCCTGTAAAAAAAAAAAACCCAAAAGATCAACAGAGTGCCATCCTGTCAGCAACACATCTCAAAATTGTTCTCATATTCCTTAATTCAGCCTGGAGTTGCTTCTCCTTCAATTTCTCCTGACATGCAAGACACAGATGTAGGTCCAGGACTCCCATTCCTTCTCCAGCAGGCACAGAGAAGCTGATGAGACACATCAGGAAAACTCTGCTGCCTGGGTGAAGGGTTTAAAAAACCTAAGAGGAGATGACAAAATACTCACATCCACTCCAGGCAGGCCAGGCAACCCAGCTTCACCTGCAGCTCCAGGCTTCCCTGGTGCACCTTTTGGCCCCTACATGAGGGAAACAGTCAATTATTATAACAAAATAACAGGAGAAACACAGCAAGGATGCAGGGATGGAAGTTCATTTGTTGATGTGTTAATCCTGCACCATGGAACATGGGAGAATCCCATGAAGGGAGGTGAATCCTGCTATGAATCCACATCCAAATCCTGAATTTCAGAGCTTTGGCTCATTCCCACGTGCTCACAAGGTGTTCTTAGTAGGGGTAGGAAGGGATGCAGCAAGTGGCCAAAGCAAAGGGCTCTCTCTGGTACAGGGTTGGGCACCCTGGCAGGCTGAGGGGCTGCAGCAGACTCAGAGCAGTGCCAAAAATGACCCTGTAACGTGGCTTGGTGCCATGACACCCGTCCCCATACAGACAACCTTTATCTCACTTGTTCATCAATTTAACTTTCATTCTCTTTCACTGATTGCAACGAAGCAGGAGAATGTGTTTGTCCCCTGAGCATCCCCACTCCTGGGAATTCTGTGGCAGGTGAAGAGGAGAGCAAGGCTCTAAGTGCATCCAGCTCGTGTCCTGTGTCCTCTTGAAGGGATGGAAAAGTCAGTACCAAGCAGGAAATACTTACTGGTGGGCCTGGCAAACCAGGAGGGCCTGGCTCTCCCTAGAGGAAAGAGGAACAAGCATTAGTGCTGAACCTTTGTTGACTTTTTCCAGCAAGGGTGTTCCCAACTGCACCCCAACCTCTCCTGTGCCCCTCTGGGATTTCCCTGGCTCAGTCTCATCAGCTGATGCTCTAAACCCTGCTGCCCCCTCAGCAGGAGGAGCCTTTTCCAAATCTGGGGAGATCCACATCCCCAGCCCCCCAGAGAGAACCAGTGCTCCTGAACAGTGCCCCCAGAGCTTTCAGCTCCTTCCAGACATGGTCAGAGTTTATTTCCCCTTGGGAGTGGCTGCGAGTGGGGCAGAGGGGAAGCTGGATGGGTGTCCCAGCTTCCAAACATCTTCCTGGTGATACAGGGATCAAATGCAGCTTTCCAGGGCACAGCATGGAGCTGTGGTACTGCCAGGAGGTGGGGATTACACCACAAAGTGAAGAATGAACCAGCTGTCTACAATGATTTTCTCCATATGACTAAACTTGGACAGGGAAAGCAAACAAGCACAGCCCCCAACTGATTTCCACCTAATCCAATTGCACAATCTGCATTAAGCACAATTTTCATACAATATTTCAAAAGCACTCTAATTTTTCTCTATTGTAATAAAAAGAAACTTTTAAGAACAGCATTAAAGGTGTTTGTGAGACAACATTTTGTGAGTCTTTAATCACTTCTTCCAGCTCAACCAGTTGGAATGCCTTTCACGAGTGCCGTGTGTGGACTCCAGGCAAAAATTTGTATTTTATTGTTAGGCCCCAAAAGAAGCAAACTTGTGAAGAGCAGGAGCTTGACTGGAGCTTGGCTTCCAACTGATCCCACAGAAAAACACTTTGTGTCCCAGCCCAGAGGGTTCCTGCCCTGCTGGCTATAGGGTAAATGCACTGGATATTGTGAGAGCTATTGAGGGCGAGCAGAGGGAAAGGGGCAGCCCTGGAAGGGGAAGATCTCTGTGGAAGAAGGGTGGTTATTAACAGGGCAAGGCTGGAAATAAAGCTGGAAATAAAACACCATCCCTCCCACCATGGGGCTGCAGACTGGGAGGCAGGAGGTGAATCAGAGCTGTGGGATTTACAGCATGTTTCTGTATTTACTGGGAGGGCTGGGGGCAAATCTCTCCAGCCTAGAGCTGCTCAGGATTTATGTCCTGCAGCCCTGACCAAGCAGAGGGGCCCTGGACAGAGGCATCTTTATGCTCTGACTTGCTGAAGCAGCTCCTTCAGTGTCCTTTGCCCACAGCTTTTCCATAAATAGTGATCATAGCAGGCTGGGGAAGGTTCCCTGCCCAGGAAATGAAAGGAGCAGTTCTTTGGAAATGAAAAGGCAGCTGGAAAGGGCTGCAGGGGTGGTTTGCTCCCTCCTCCAGCACCTGGGACTGCCAGCCCCTTGTGTTCTTCCTTTCCTCCGTGGTGGGAACCTGCACAGGGAGGTCACAGCACCAGTAAAAAATGCTGGGGACCATCTTAAACCTTGATCCTGTGGTGGTGGTGGACCCCTGCAGGACCCTGCAGGAGCACCAGAACTTCAGAGAGCTGAATCCAAAGCCTAATCAGGGTATGCACCCCCAAGGCCAGGTCACTGGGAATTAGAGCAAGGGCTGTCAGCAAAAGGAAATGCTCCCCTGGTGCCATGTGGAAGTTTTCTCTTTCTCAGCAAGCCAAGCAGACTTGCAGACAAGGAAGAAAGCAGGGAAAAAAAAAAAAGAAAAAAAAGCTTGATTTTTGAAAAGTGACAATTGCTTATTAGCAATTTAGGGAATTACATCTCCAGAAATAATTCACAGGAACTTGTCACTAATTCTTTCCATCAAAACATGCTGTCTCTAGTCTTGGGAGAGAGATTTTGCTTGTTACTGGGTATGAAACGAGAAGCTTGTTAAAGGCTTTAATTATAAAATATTACAGAGGGACTTAATGTTGCAGCTCCCCCTGAAAGGCAGGGATGAAAGCTGGGCCTTTGAGAAATTGTGCTGATGGAGTTCATGCAAGGAGATATCCTGAATAATTCAGCTGCAGGCTCTGCACCTCTCAGTGCTCACAGCTGATGGTAGGGGGCTGCTGAGCACCTCAGAGCAAGGACACCCAGAGCACTTCCACACCACTTTCATCCCAAGGCACCTGGCACACTGACCTGGCTGGAGTGACTTACAGAGTTCAGGAATACAGTGCAGAAAATTTTCAATTGCAATCTAAGAAAAAAAGTCTCAGCACCAGAAGAAAAATAAAATAATGATTTCACTCTGCAGTGGCATAACTGACACTGCCACTCAGGATCCACATGACCCTCCTCATGCAGCACTAGGGAAATGTAGAACAGTGCTGAATTTTGTTTGCCATCATTTTTTGGAGTGTTCTGACACAAAAGGGCAGCTGGTAAGCAGGGAGGCTGTGTGGTTCTGCTCAACACCAGCCACAGCTCAGCATCTCCTCCTGGAAGGACTCCCTGTCCTGCTGAGGAGCAGGAACCATCCTGGAGCCTTCCCTGGACAGCCAGACCATCTCACCTGAACAGAGACCTGGCCTCCTCCATCCATACAGGGGATGGGCTTCAAGCTCAAATTAGAGAATATTTCTGTGCAGCCAAAACTCCAGGCTGAAGCTGGGACTGCAGGACTTTGCACCTTAAACACTTCACCCAGCCTTTTGATTAATTAGGGCTAAGTTCTTCACACTAATTAGATGTTGTTATTTGAGCCTGTCCCACGGGGAGCCTTCCAAAGCTTTTAGTTCTGAATAAAAGGGTGAAGGTCCACATGGACTGACACCTCCCTGGGCTCCTGTTTCCAAGAGCAGTCAGAAGCCACAATGCTGCTGCTCCAGAGTTAAATATCCTGTAGAAAGGAGGAACTGAACAACTACAGGGTTTCTTTCCCATTTCCTCTCTGCAGAAGTTGAAACTTGAAGTCTGAAGGGCTTCATCCTTCCCAAACTCTTCTTTTTGCTTCGGCAGTGGATCACAGGCAGCCTTTCCCAAGGTGTGCTGGCCACAGCAAAGCCCTGCTGCAAAGGGGAGCCAGTGTCCTTTGCCCTCTTCTGGGCTGTCCCCTGAAGCCTTTTGTGACAAAACCAGCTGGAAGCTGCCAAGGGCCAGCTCTGAACGTCTCTCTCTGAACCACAAAACCAGGGGGGGATTCCCAGGAATAGAGACTCCTTGAGCCAAAAGGACACTCAGAGGGAGCAGCTGGAAATCAATGAGGTTCTCTCTTCAGCCCAGCCTGGCTCAGGGAGCTGCAGGGAAAGCTCCCCACTGCAGGCACAAACACTCCTTGTTCACCATGTGCCAGGGAGCTCATACATTTTTTATTTTTTTACCTCCTTATTCAAAAGAAAATGACCTGCATGGAATGAATAGATATTTTCAAGGTTGCTTAAGGCCCCAATTCCAATAAATGCACTTCAGATGAGCTTTAAAAACCCCTGCACTGTTCCATAGGCACCTCAGAGAGACAAGAGCTGCTCAAAGTGGAAATTGAAGCAGGAACCCAGATTTTGCATTGGTCTTGCTGAAGGTCCATCTGATGCTCATTTTATCCACTGCCAACTACAGGACACAATTCAGTCCTTATCCAACAGATGCACAGAAGCAATATTTTGAATTTCTATGGAAACATGAATTAACAGTAACAGAACAAGACTTTCTCCTCCATTAAGTCCTGGGTTATGGAGTCTTCTCCCTCTGCAGGAGGTGTAAGGAGCTGCCTGCTGAAACAAGGGCTCTTCATTTAATTTGCCTTTTGGGCCACTACAAACTCATGTCTGGCAACACAAGAGCCAGATCCTGACACATCCTGTGCCAAAGTGAGGGATAACCATGATGATGATATTAAAATAAAACTAATAAGACAAAAGCAGTGTCCAGTGCTGCATATTTGAGTCTCTTGTAGCCTCTCTATAAATGTAGATGCTCTGAAGCACCACATAAATCTGTCCTTGAACTGCTGAACGTGCCCTGACCCCACACACATCATACCTCTGCACAAAAGAGAAATATTCTACTTTGCAAGCAGGGTCCCAAACCCCTGAGCTCTCCCTGGGGACAGGGGATTGATCCTGCAAAGAACCTGCTCAGCACCCCCACAGGCTGTTCACAGCCTCCTGCAGAACAGGACAGGGATTTTCCAGGTCCATCCCCAGGGATGCTCAGAGGATCTGCAGAGCAGGAGCAGCTTCTCTGCCCAGCCCTGGCCCCAGCAGCCCTGCCCTGCCCCACTCACATCAATGCCGTCCTTGCCAGATGGTCCAGGGGGTCCTGGAGGTCCAGGAGGGCCTTGGGGTCCAATTCTTGGAAGGGACTGGGGAAAAGTGAGAGACAAGAACTTGTTTGTCCAACAGAAGGAACACATGGGCAAGATCAGAAATCACTGGCAAAATCCTACAGCTTAACCCTAAATCTGCACCCCCTGCCAGCCTGGGTGGGCTCAGAGCTGCTCCAGGGTACTGCAAGGCTCTTTGGAAAACCCTTTTGACTGAGCACATCCCCAGCTCCTTTTACTGTACTGGGAATGCAAACTGGTCACTGGGCAGCAAAGGGGTTTTGTTGTATGGGAAATTGTTCTGATTACAGGCACATTTTGGGTTGGGCAGAGGAGGAAACGCAAAGCCCATGGAAAAGATGCTATAAATTCATTATTTCTTGCTTGGCAGAAATAATGAATTTATAGCCCCAGTTTGATGGGGTGATGGCAAAGCCAGGCAGACACCAATGAAGACAAGAGGGGAAAGAAAAAGTCTCCTTTCTGAGCAGTGTGCCCCCTGAAAATCTGGGATTTTGGAAAGGTCTGAGGTGGGGGGAAGCAGAGAAAGGTCCAATAAATGACTTCTGTATGGAGAGGGCTCCAGAGAGCAACTGACTGTAGCTTCAGGGAACAAAGGTTTCATTGTAGAAGCAGCTCTGCTCACAGCAGAGCTCTGAATTCCCAAGCCAGGCTGCAAAAATTCCTCACTAACAATGAAAAAGTCACTGAGGAGTCACTTCCCCAGACAATAATATTAACACCAGACAGGGAAGTTTAATACAGCTTCATGTCTCAAGTGAGCAAGGGTTAAACATGCTGTAAGTATTAAATTTGAAAATTGATTGAGGGAATGAGTAAAGAAATTCTGATTCAGATAAAGACCCAGATCAGATCAGTTTCGCTGGAGATCTGTTACTTCATTGTAAAAGCAAACTCTTTCTCTTGAATCAACAGATCTTCCCTTTCCAAAGCTTTCCCTCTCATAATTGCAGTCCTGAATGGGAGAACACCACTTCTGCAGAAACAGAAAGCAGCAGTTTTTACACCTACCCACAAGGTACAAACCCAGGTGCACATTTGTAATAAACCTCAGAATAATACCTGCCCATTGCCACATTTCACCCCACAGGTACAACACACACTCTTTTTTACCCTTACAGGTTTTCCCCTGAGCAGGAGACACAAATGAGGTTTCTCACCTGAGCTGCTGCTGTGGCCAAGAGCTGACACAGGGAGAGGAGCCCAAGAGCAGAGATTCCAGCCATGGTGCCCAGGCTCTGCCTCTCTCCCTTTCCTCCAGGCTGCCAAACCCTTTCTCCTCCAGAGTCCAACAGATCCCTCCTCCTCCTCCTGGCTCTCAGCTTACAGAGCAGAGACTCCTCGCCTCCAGATAAACCTGTGGCTCCAGCTGGAGCAGGGAGAGGGGCTGAGCTTGGAGGAGGTGGGAGAAGGAGGGGGAGCAGCAGAGCAGCTCATTCATGCCCCAGCCTCCTGCTCCTGGAGCCTCTGGAAGGGCTGGGCTGGGAGAAGGGACACAGGAGCACAACTGGGATACTCCAGCTGCAAACACAAAGCTGTTCCTTGCGTCTCACCCAGGATATTTCCCAAAGCCCATCACCACCTCTGTGCTGGACAGGTAAAAAGGAACACAGGGGGAGTTTTTCAGTGAATTTTACATTTTTCACCCAACTCCAGGAAACCTGTGATAGTGCATGATCACCACAGAGAAATGCACTTACTGCATAGTGAGGTGCTTTGTTAGCTCTGGAAGTTGTTCACATCTGGTTTCAGGGTTTTTTTTTTAGGGTGATCTGAAGAGCACTGATTCCTTGAGAAATGATGAATGCTGGTCAGAAAACACAATCACAGACAGGTACAAGGAGGAAGGGAAAAGGAGGAACATTCTCAAAGGCACAAAGAAATATCTGAAAGGCTGTGAGGAAGGAAAGAGGACAGTTCCCTGCCTGGTGACCCCAAATGGCAGGAGATTGATGAAGATGCATCTCCTGCAATGAGCTTTATGATTCCCTTTGTTGATTAAAGGCAATTTCATCCAAAGCAGGGCTTGGATGTGGGGAGGAATGGTGGCCAGACTCCTCAGGGCTGAAATGACACAGTTCATCTGGTTAGGAACACAAGAGGAGAAGTGGAAAGCTGAGGAACGGAAATACCTGATTTTAGCTTGGCATCTGTGCAACAGGAGGCTTGTAGGAGCACCCAGTGTTTGTGTGGATTCCTAGAGCTTTGGCAGAGGGAAAAAGGGCTCAGATTTACCAGGTTCCCACAAGATTCTGTGGAATAGCTGGGGACAGAAAGTGTGTCTCTAACTCTCCTGATGGCTTCAGAGTAACTGGAATCCTTTCTTAGACAGCCCAAACCCTGCAGAGGGAGAGCAGCTTTGCCCAGCTTGTACCTCCACCCCCACACTGAGGCCAGCTGGTGGCAGGAGGGGAGGCAAAGGAGATCCAGACCTTGCCCAGAGCAAGCCAGGGCTGGGGGCTGCAGCAGGTGGAGCCTGCCCAGGAGCAGCACTGGGAGTGTTCACCTTCAAGACCATCCCACATTTCCAGCAGCCCTCCATCCCACACCCACAGGCAGCACAGCTGAGGGGACACAATGGCTCAGAGGAAATTTTTAATTAATTACCACAAAGACACCCCTGTTCTTGTGTCCCAAAGGGAATAAAAACCCCTGAACTGAAGCTCCCACAGCCAGGCTGGGCAGGAGCCCCAGGGGATGCTCCAAGCAGAGTCCAGGTTTGCACTGCAGAGCACCACAACACTTGTGGGAGAAGAGCTGCAAAAGCAACACAAAACATTCTGAAACAAGCAGATACCCCATCCCTGGAAGTGTTCAAAGCCAGGCTGGATGGGGCTTGGAGCAACCTGGTCCAGTGGAAGGTCTCCCTTGGCAGGGAGGCTGGACCAAGATAAACTCTGAGGTCCCTTTCAACCCAAACCATTCTGCAGTTCTGTGATTTCCAAGCACATCATTAAAACAAGCAGCATGGGGGGTGTTTTCCTCTGAAAGGTTCACTGGACACGTTTTAGAGGTGGAGGAAGACTGGGCAGCACCTCCACAGGAAGAAAGAGCAGCTGTGTGCCATGGTGAGCCCAGCAGAGCACCCTCTTCTTATTGGGGGGAAACAGGCAACAGCTCATGGCTCCAGGGGCTGGGTAAATACATGGTCATATCCCACCCTCAAAGATGGAAAAATATAAAAGGAAACTGATATGCTTTAAAGTCATGCTTTAATAGGGGAATTAACATAACAGACTCCGTGATACAGCTCTGAGTGCTGGCAAACACCTTGTGAACTCACCACACACACCTACAGCCAAAAGTGAACCTGGCAGGAGAGGGAAGGGCTTGGTTTGAGCACTCACTCCAGGCTGGGGGTCAGAGTGAAATCCCATTGAACACAAAACCATAACAAGATATAGGATCTATGCCCCAACTGAGCACATATACACAATGAAAATTTCATTAAATAAGAAAATTACTAAAATCTGTACAAAAGCCACAATTAACAATTCTTAGGAATCTGTTAGGAAAGAATTTTCACTCAACATCTTCAAGTATTTCCATCTGTAGTTAAGTGTATTCTTATTGGCTATTTACCTCCATCTGTTCTTAAGAAGAAAGAAGTATTTTAAAAATATTAAAGCCTTATTTCAGTACATGTGTGACCACGAACATCAGATGTTAGGCTTGCAGACTTTTATTCCCACACACATATGTGGCATGCTGGATCAGAACCTACAGGCTGGGAAGGCAAATCACCCCTCAAATTCCTTGAAAGATAAAGCTTCTTAAGAGCTGTAGCAGAGAGGAAAAACATTGACATTGCACAAGCTGCTGCATCTGCTCCCTGGCCATCTCCTACACAAACCAAACAGCACCAAAGAACCTCAAAACCAACCCAAACAACCTGAGCAAACAGCAAGTCCAGACCTTCAGGCTGTTGGAAACAATTTCCTCTGCTTCATGAAACAGATCCTCTGTTGTAAATTTTTAGGAGTGAAGGTGCTAAACTGTTTTAATGCTCCTTCAGAGCTGCTGGAGGATTGTGCAGTGTGGCAGAACAGCTGACAGGGAGGTCAGAACAGAGGCAGGCAAAGAGCTGGCAAGGTCTGAAAGTAAATTCTTGAGAGCTGGAAATAAATGAACCAGACAAGCATAGCCTCTCCAATTAACGTTTCAATTAACTGCCCCACAAAGCCCAGTGGTTTCCAGACATGCTGCACTGGAGCATGCCCTGGCTGGCTGACATTAAAGGCAAAGCAATCCTGCCCTAAGAGGGAAACAGGCTGGATCTGACACATCAAACCTCAGCCATGGGCCTGAGAGAAAGAGCCTCCCCAGGCCACTGCCAATTACCAGCTAAGGCTGAAAAAAATGCACTGGGAAATACTTGTGCTGCTTTGGCAACTGAGAAATGAGAGCCTCTGAAACAGTCATGGACAAAAAAATCTGTGGAAGACTATAAAGGGGTTGGAAAACACGGGGAAGGAAGAGCAGCTCTAAACAGTTTTATGCAAAACCTGGAGCTTTTTCTCTTAGAAAGCAGCAGGCAATTTGTAGTCTTAACTCTAACAAGAACTACAAAGCAACCTCTGTGGGGATAAAGAGAATTACTCAGCACTTTGCACCTCAAGAGAACAGAATCTCTACACAAAGGTTCATACTGGTCAGAGACACATTTTGGCTACAGATCTATCCCAGTCTAAAGCCAAACCTACCTTCCTTAGAGGAAGAGAGGCAACTACATTGACATCATGTGAAATCCATATACTCATCTCTTTTAGAGAAACAGCAATTTTGCCAGGAAAAAACTCCTGGGAAGGTACAGCCTTTCACAGTAACAAACAGAAGTTACACAGCAGTAGAAAGGCATGGCAAATTAGGTCATGCTGTCTTTACATTAAAAATCGTGTCTTTAATAAATACTTAAGTAATTCAAACAAGGAGACAGATCAGTTTTCCTCTTCTCTTTCAGTAGGGACGTAATCAGAATCAAAGCAAAGTGCAAAAATCCCCGTTGCTCCAAGATAGCCCTGAACATCAGATAAAACCCAGCAACAGGACACAGCCTGTCCATGAAGATGAGTAAATTAAGTTTTCCTCTTTAGGGTACCCAAGAGCTGGATCTCACTGAGTTTACTAGAGATGATTAAAAAATCATGGAAGGGTGAAAGTGAGACAGGGGCCAGCTGGATCATCCCAAAGGAAGTTTATTCAGTTCTCCAAGCCACCAAAGCTGGCTCCCAGTACAGGGCAGTGCCATCTCTGCTGGCTCAGGTGCTCACTGTGCTGCTCTCACTCTGCTGCTCCCTGCTCTCCACCAGGCTCTGCTCCATTCTCAGAGCCTTCACCTTTTTCTGGTGGGACCTTAGCACTGTTTTCTTCAGGACAAGTGGGTGTTATGCTCTGCTCATGACTCTCTGGAGCTTGCTTCTTGTCTGTGTCTTCTGCTTGCCCTTTTTCACCTGCCTTTTCCTGCTGTCCTACCCCACCTAATTCACTTTTACCCCCCAGGAGTTTGCTGTTGCAATGGTGCTGATCACCCCCTGCTGAGTTTTGATCTCCACTGGGCTTCCAGCCATCCTTGATTGGAGCAGTGCAGCCAGTCCTGGAAGCAGCTGGGGGTCTCGCAGCCCCACCATCTCCATCACCACCACCCCCCTTCTCACTTGGCACTTCCACAGCTGCATTTTCCTCACTGACACTTCCTTTTCCAGCCTCACCTTTAGCAGCAGATGGATTTGCCTTGGCAGCAGAGGCTGAGGGCCCCATGCTCAGGTTTATGGCCAAGCTCACTTGTTTGCCTCTGGATGTTTTTTTATCAACCTTCCTGCGTTTCACAGCCGCGTCCGCGGCCTCCGGCGCCGCCGGCTCTTTGGTGCTTGAATCATCTTCCTTCAGAGCCTCCTGATCCTCTTCTGCCTGGGAGACTGGCTCTGAGCAGGGGACCTCTGCATCAATTGCACACTCTCCCAGATTATGGGAAATGTTTTCAATATCAGCAGAGTTTTTCAATGATCCATCGCCTTTAGCATCTGCCAAACCTGAATTCAGTTTTCTCTTCTTGCTCTCCTTTGTGCAATCGTTCTCTGCAGTACCCTGCCCTTCTTCAGCTTCATTTTTTAACTCCTCTTCCTCCAGCTGGCCAAATGAAGCTTCTTTTTCCTCTTCATCATCTGCCTTCAAAACACATTTGCTTATCTTCTCCTTTACATGTTCATCACTCATTGCAGGCTGCAACTCCGCAGCATCTCCAGCTTTCTGTTCCACTTCTGAGCACTGGTTCTGATCCTTCTCCAC